AATTAGCAGTTTAAAATCAAACCTGTATATATACAACATTTTATCTATAATTTGTTATAGAATCTTTTCCTCTCGCGGTTACACCGCCATTTCATCTCTCTCTCGGTTACACCGCCATTTCATCTCTCTCACGGTTACATCGCCATTTCATCTCCCTCGCGGTTACACCGCCATTTCATAACTGATAAATGGAACTTAATCAAAATTCAGCCAGATATGGAAATCCGGTCATTACTGTCCGGATATGAAATCCGGTCAAATACTTAGAACCAAAAAGTGAATACCCGGACAAGGCTTGACCGATAAAACTCTAAACTAGATATCACTTGGACGGTTTAAGGCTATATCGGACGTCATACGAGCGGTTTAGGTGAACCCGATGATACTTGAGCGATTTAAGGAGATAACTGGTTGCCTCTTGGGCGGTTTAAGGCAAATCCGAACACCCCTTGTCCGGTTTAGATAGAACCCGGACACTTCTTGTCCGGTTTAAGGTAAATCCGAACAATACCTATCCGGTTTAGAATAGATGTCCAGTTACCCTTTATCCGGTTTAAAGTAAATCCATACAATATGTATGTAGTTCATAAGGAGCAAGATCTAACAGCAAATGAATTATTATGCAACAATCAATACTTCAAAGCAGTATACACTCACCTTAGAATGTTGATCGGATTAAGCCTGCAGTTTACCTTCAGTCTTTTCTCTCAATGATTACAGAAAAACTCTTTAAAACCAACCCCTTCTCTTTTCACATACACTTGCTATTTATAGCAAGTGTATGGCCATCTTTTTATCAAAAGCCGGCTATATCATCCTCAACACCCTCTCTCACACACACACACACACACACACACACAATCCTAACACATACACACAAACACACACACACACACATACACACACATATATATATATATATATATATTCCAAAAACTTGAAACTCGAATATTACAACATTCCCTCTTTAAAAGAATTTCGTCCCGAAATTCCATTTTAGCAAAAAGGTAGGGATACTTCATCCGCATCTCTGATTCTGATTCGCAAGTGGCGTCTGGTCCTTTGTGATAACGCCATTGAACATTTAATAACCCAATCTCTTTATTTTGTAACTTCTTTACTTTAAAGTCGGTAATCTGCTCAGGGGTTTCTTCAAAGCATAATCTTTCATCCACCTTAATTTCAGGTAGTGGCACTGCCACGTCTGGACTTATTAGACACTTTCTTAAATTTGACACATGAAACATGTCATGGATTCCACTTAACTCTAACGGAAGTTCTAACCAGTATGCAACTTCTCCAACTTTTTCTAAAATAGAGAATGGTCCAATATACCTTGGACTTAACTTCCCCCCTTTTCCAAAACGTACCATTCCTTTCCAAGGTGATACTTTTAACATCACTTTACCACCTACTTGGAATTCAATCGGCTTTCGTCGTTTATCTGCATAACTTCTTTGTCTATCTTGCGCCACTTTCATTCGTTCCCTTATCAAGCTAATTTTATCTGCAGTTTGCTGAACTAACTCAGGCCCAGCCAATTGTTTTTCACCTATTTCATTCCAACACAAAGGAGTTCAACATTTTCGTCCATATAGAACCTCGAAAGGTG